TACATGGTCGTTTATCTCATGCTTGAGATCAGTGGCAGTCTTCCTTCTGTCTCGAAGGCTGCATAAATGAACATAACATACTTAACATCAGTATCATTGAGTTTAGGTGTTCTGCCTCTTTCTTTCTTTTTCCAAATTTACCTGTCTCAGTCTCACGATCTCGGGTGTACATAACAGTTTTTGGGGAGAATTTCAAGTCTGCAGCAATTTGTTGGAGAGTCCAATCAGCATCATGTAAAGCTTTTATGCGAACTCTCTGCTCAATTAAATATTCTCTACGCTTTTTGGGCTGTGGCATGACAACAAAACTTAATATATAGTGTTAAACACTGTTTTTATCAAGGTTTATTTGTGGAGTGTTATTATATTGATTTCTTCTAGCATATACCAGTACCATATGCTAGCTCCTTGCTAGCTTCTTTCTCTGTAGTTTAGACACTGCATGGGGTACCATAACAGTTATTTCAGACCCTAAATTTGATCAGTATGTTCATTCAAGCAGAACCATTATGTCATGCCCTTGGTAAAAGTATATTGGAATTCTAAAGAATGATAAGTATACTCACCCTGGCTCATTCAATTGTTAACAGGAATTAGTGAAGCATTACCATAGTGTTGAAATTTACGTTATGTAATGGCATGGAAGAATTAGCCCAATAAAATAGATAGAATGGCAAAATATTCTCTTGTCCTAACAGTTTTGCACAGTACTGTATATGATTTTCTTATTGTTTATTTCTTATTAAAGTAATGCTTAATTGTACATTCTAATCTTCTTTGCAGTTTATGTGTACAGATCTTTCTTTCTTTTCCTTGTTTTCTAAATTCCCTGTTTTCATTATGCTAATATATTTTATTACATCTTGTTTTCAGACTTCACTCAGAATGGAATAACTGTATTCTGAAATGTTAGGCTGGTAAATAGGATATTTTTGTTACAGTAACCATGTTACTCAGAGAAAAATTAGTGCTAGCTGACGTATGATACCTGTGGTTAAGAGACATTTCAATCCATTGTTGATATGTTATTGGGAATGTATGTGTAATAGTCATTATAGAAACTGTTTAAGAATTTTAAAATTCCATTTTTACTATATAGTAGATTGCCAAAATGATATTTTTCATAAAATATATGTGGTTATATTTTTATTATTTGGGTGTGCACCAACACATACATTTAGTAATTGTGTATGATATAAAAATGGATTATGAAAGCTGTGTTATATTTATACATAGTATTAAAAGTTTGGTGATTATAAGTATTAAATACCATTGAACTCTTATCGTCTTGCATGTGGATACTGCCAAACAGAATGCAGTAGACTATGAATTTTTATGCACTTGATTATACCTTTTAACAAAATATGAAAAACAAATAGCCAACTATGATTATTTATTACTGTGTTATTGTACACAGTAAATATTGCTAGAACCCTCACTCTATAAGATATTAGATAAAATATTTGATTATTCATAGTGGCAGTAAGTATGTTTCACTTAATGTCAAGTAAAATTTCCAGTAAATATGACTTAAAGTAGCTTATCATATTTAGTTAATATTACATAATCAAGAGAAGGCCTGGCAGTTAGAGTGGTCACTTTGCAATGTAAGGGTCATGAGTTTTAATCTCTGTCACTGAACATGCTCATCCTATATTGTTGTTATCTGGGCTGGCCACCAAAGTGTAAAAATTCTTGGCTTACAAAATACAGGCCGACTCCAAGTTGGGATTAAGGTCATTATGGAGAATAATTACTTCATGAAGAGAAGAAACTATTGCTGTATGATCCTAGTCCTATTTTATTGTTGGTTCATACAGACAAAAATGATAATGGAATTAATAACATTTCTTATATACTGAAACTTATGGACAAAATAGAACATTAACATCTGAAAAATACTCTTGGTGGTTTGCTTCAAAAATAAGTAATTTACAAATAACACATTAGATAGTTGTCATTTATATTAACGTGCCTTGACCAAGCATATCATTTGTTAAGCATTATATGTTTTCAGTACTAAGCATTTTATTTTGTATTAGTTGTCTATTATACCAGCTACAGTTGTAGTGTAATAAGTTGTGTAAAATGAGTGTCTAGGGATAGAAGTTGCAAAAAAAATTGGTTATTTAGTATAGTTTATGCTAACATGGGTAACAGTTGATTAGAGAGGCATAAAATAGTTTATTATAATGTATGACCAATGAATACTTGAAACTGTTGGTACTTGGTGAAACTCCATGATTATAGAATTGATTGACAGTTGTGTGTTTTACAAATACTTCATTTATTAATGACCACGGTTTTGCCAGTAAAGGCATCATCAGGTACAGACTGAAGTGGTTTGTGAACATGTTTATATATGTTAAACCAAAGAGCTGAAAGTAACCTTGACATTCACCTTGAGACAAGTGGGAGGGGCTTAAGTTGGTTTGGTCATTGAGAACTTTTTCACAATTTGTTTTTAGACTTCTATTTATTTCTAAAATTTCCAGACTGTTTAGTTTTTACCTTTTTGCACAGATATGTAAAATTTTGCAATTTTTTTCCAGATGAAATTGGTGTTTTGTTTCAATAAGGTGGGATGCAAAGGTTGAATCCATTTTCCTTAATTTTAAACTTCTAGAATGTTCTTTAATTCTTGTTTCCATGGGATGTCCTGTTTTACCTATGTATAGACTATTGCAGTCGTGACGTGTTTATTGGTGAGCACCACTGTTGCTGTACTTTTTTATTTTGTCTCTGTTGTTGCACAACATTTTGTCTAGATTGTTTGTACAGTAGAAGGCTGATCTGTATATTTTTTGTTCACTGTGTTATATATTTTGTGAGTAGGTTTTCCAAAGTACCTGATCTTAAACCATTTCTTTTTCTTTATGTTGTCCTTTGTTACAGTATGTGAGTATATCGATTTTATGTTAATAGCTTTTAATTTTTTAAACAACAATGTGTCAATTAACTTTGTTGTATAACCATTGTTGACAGTAATTTCTTTTATTATTTTTGATTCAGTTTCATAATCTTCAGACTACAAAAGTATAGTGATAAGCTTATCCACCAACTATGGAATATGGCAAGTTTGTGAGATATCAGATGTCTTAAAGAAGCATGTATGGTGGTGTCATAATAAGTTGTTTTCTGAAAATTTTGAAGGAATGTATGCCATTATTTATGACAATATCTAAGTCCAAAAATTTAATGTTTCTGTTTTCACAAAAACAGAAAAATTATATCCTCAACATGTCTGTACCAACATTTGACATGTTTTGTATTATTTTCATCACTAAACAATTTCTTCTCTAAATTATCTATGGAAATTCTACAAGCAAAGGAGAGAGCAAAGCAAAGCCCATAGCTAACCCATCATTTTGTTTATATATTTAGTCATTAAATTTAAAGAAGTTCTGATCTAAGCAACAACATAAAGAAAAAGAAATGGTTTAAGATCAGGTACTTTGGAAAACCTACTCACAAAATATATAACACAGTGAACGAAAAATCTACAGATCAGCCTTCTACTGTACAAACAATCTAGACAAAATGTTGTGCAACAACAGAGACAAAATACAAAAGTACAGCAACAGTGGTGCTTACCAATAAACACGTCACAACTGCAATAGTCTATACATAGGTAAAACAGGACATTCCATGGAAATAAGAATTAAAGAACATTCTAGAAGTTCAAAATTAAGGAAAATGGATTCAACCTTTGCATCCCACCTTATTGAAACAAAACACCAATTTCATCTGGAAAAAAATTGCAAAATTTTACATATCTGTGCAAAAAGGTAAAAACTAAACATTCTGGAAATTTTAAAAATAAATAGAAGTCTAAAAACAAATTGTGAAAAAGTTCTCAATGACCAAACCAACTTAAGCCCCTCCCACTTGTCTCAAAGTTACTTTCAGCTCTTTGGTTTATCATATGTAAATCTGTTCACAAACCATTTCAGTCTTTGCCTGATGATGCCATTACTAGCAAAACCATAGTCATTAATAAATGAAGTATTTGTGAAACATACAATTGTCTTTGTTTTTTCTCCTTAATTCTGTAATATATGATTAAGAAAATATGAAGTGGTTTGTTTTTAATTACTTAATAGATTAAATCATATGATGAAAAATGCTTAAATGTCCTGAAAATGACAAATTCCATTGAACATACTAAAAAGTTTCATATATCAAAATTGACGTAAAGAACAATTTAACGGAACTGTTCCTAATTTTGTGGTTAATGTTTCAATATACTTACATCTGTTTCTTTAGCTTAGATTACCACCAATTTTCAGATATTAAAGGAAATTTTATGTTTCTTTTAAGGAACCTGTAGTTAACTTTGGTGTTGAGTCACATTTCCAAGGTCGATCTGTCCCACAGGTGACATCACTTATTATTACCCAGGTAAACATTTTCATGTTATTCACTATAATAGTAGAACTGCTTGAAATTATCAATAGTGTTTTGTTTATATTTTTATATCTAGTTTTTTAAATTCTGTATTTTGTATCGTTGCTTTTACAACACAAGACTTGGTTATCATTATGGATTTTTTAGGTACTTGTAGAGAGAACATGTGGAATTTTCTTTAACCCAGCTGGTGAACAGATATATGAATTTTGCTACATCCTTCAGCAAAAAGTTAAGCAAGGAGGAGAATAGCTACACCTCTTAAGAAGGTGTTACAGTTAAATATTGCCTCCAGTATTTTTGCTCAGTCCACATTTTCTCACATTATAATTAGCTTTATGGTATAAACTTTTGTAATATTATTCACAAAACTGGGTACTTTGAGAATATTTCAGTTTGCATAATAAAAAATACTGCTCCATAATCAAATAAAACATTGGATATACCAAGTTAAATTTGTTATGCCAGTTTCAAACACATAATTTCATTTTGCTCACTTACATTTTAGTCCAACCAACTGCAGTACTGCAAATTAAAGCTCAATAAACACAGATCAAACTGTATTTTCCTGGAAATGTGACATGAGCTCACCTGTTACTTCTTTCTTTCCAGCAAATTTACTATCTGTCAAATGTTTTGGTGGGAAAACTGAAATATTCCACACCAGAATTAATTAAAACAACAGTCATATTGTTTCTTTGTATAAAGCTTTACATTTAACTACATATAACATTTGGATGAAATTTGTGCATTCTGATTGAAAAGTTTCTCTCTCTGGCCATGCTCTTATTGATTGATTTATTTTGTGTGGACAAAACTTATGAATGACTTTGTGTAAAATTTTATATATATATATGTGTACTCACATACACATAACCACAAACATATGTTCACCTACACATGTTTATAACTTCCACATTTCATCGGGATATACTTGTAACTTTTAACAGGCTATTCTTGTAAACCACATGTGTCAGTAGTTGTGGTTGTGTAAAATGCTGCTCTTTGAGAGTGGTAAAAGTCACACTATATTAGAGGCCTCATGAAATAAATAACTAGTAGCAGAAATTCTTGTTGTCAAAATTAGTAGTCATTCTGTCACTACCTTATATATCAGTACTCATGCAAACCAACTTCAGCTAAATATGGTTGTCCGCATTGAATGTGTCTTCACTGTTTGGAACAGCCACCAACCATAGACGGGTGGAATATTGCATCACTTTACATAGTTGGTCCACTCGTGTTAGTTGACATCATAGAAAAGTAAATATAAGTAACCTCGCTGAAGTAAGACCTATTCCACTGAAAAGTCATCCAATTCACTTTCAGTGATGGTAGAGAATTCAACACCTCACTGTATAAGAAAGAGCCATAGATGAAGTAAGACCTATTCCACTGAAAAGCCATCCAATTCACTTTCAGTGATGGTAGAGAATTCAACACCCTCACTCTATAAGAAAGACCCATACACTGTTAAGTACATGTGACAATTTCCTTGAGAACTTCATGACTAGTTCTGATATGATACAGTATCTCTGCTCACATGAATAGCTATTCTTGTTCATTGCTACCCTCTATATGCAAATATATTTTAACACATGATACAAGTCTTTTTTCTCCCCTCCATTGGAATTGACTAATTCCAATGCAATGCATCTCTCATGCAAATCATAATGTGATAACCCTCCACAAATAAGAGTATGATATACTCTCATTACGCATGTGACTCCTATTCAATTCTACCTAACTATCACTTCTCATTTGGCAGTACTCGTGTCCAGACATTTTTTGCTTTTCGTGTGCTTCTTGCTTGTAAATTTAATAGTTTCAATTCTGAAGTGGGATTTCTTCATTAATTTTTTGTTGTTGTTATAATGAAGATGCCTTGTCCTCCATGGGCTATGGATCAGTTTGCTTTGGCTTACTATCAGGTGACTGTCTGTTTCTCAAGTCTCAAAAGTTGGGGTCTATTTTACCTGTGTGGAGGTGTTCCCTGATTTTCCTGTGCGTTTAACCCCTGCCCAGTTTCCACGCCTTCGTCTTACCCTTACTTCACTTCTATGGTATTTATGTACTATCCTTCTCCTTTCCGAGGCAATACACTGAGATCCTGAGGGTTTTTGGAGGGACAGCCTCTCCCTTATTACCTCCATATTGCCTTGTTTGTCATCTTTGGCCCTTGCTTTACACACGTGGTTTCTCTGTTGTTGGGATCTTCTGGATTGCAATATGGCCTTGTCCCAGGTTTGTTTGCTGCCCACTTATCTAAGGGAATTATGTATGGCCCCTTTTCTTCAGTGGTATGTTTTCAATACTCTTATCTTTTCCTCTATGGTAGCTCGTTTGTTGCAGTCAGAACCTCGACAAGCTCCTACTTCCTATCCTAATCCTTCTTAGTTCTTATTTGTTCCTCTCACCAGGGAATCCTCATCTCATTGTTTTTATTTAATGTAGATGGGCACAGTGCCAACAGTACCATTAACTACTCAGTAGGTTACAGTCTGGTGGGAACTTGATTGTGCGAATTTGTTCCCCTTTGGTAATCTTTTGCCAGAGATCAGTGGATTAATCGGGTTTTATCAGACTGACTTGTTCTGCAATTTCTACTCCCTTCCTTTGTCTCTGGTACTCGTTTCCTTCTCTATGCCTCAGGATCCTATCACCTGCCAGCATCTGTCATTGGCGGTACAAGACTTTTTGTCTCAACAGGCCATTGAACCTGTTCAACATCTTTCTCCAGGCTTTTATTCCAGGTTGTTTGTTGTCCCCAAGAAAACTGGAGAATGGGGGCTTGTAATAGATTTGTCCCGCCTCAATCAATTTCTCAATCTACCCGTTTTACCATGGAGTCGTTTCTCACTCTTAGGTGGGCTTTTTCTCCAGGTTTGTGGATGACCAAGTTGGATGCCGTGAATGCTTACTTGCATATCTCAATATCTCATCAGTCGCAAATCATATCTTCAGTTTGTTCATCACTTTGTTCCAGATGTCTTCCCATCAAATTTCACACCTTATCTTTCCCTGGCATCTCATCTTCATTGTTCATTGGAGGAAATTCTTCAGTCGGGCATGTGGACTACTCCTAATATGTTTGTCTCTCACTATTTTCATAGGATAATGGTTTCTTCCTTTTCAGTATATTATTTTCCATCATATTCTTCAGACTTCAGTTAGATTTTGACTGGGTAAGTTATCTTTTATTATTATTCTTTATTTTATTTTCAGCAGCCTTATTTCCCTTTTTCTTATTATTACTGATTGTTTGGATCCCACTCTGTGGCGAGTGGTGCCTGGCCAGGTATTCTTTAACTGTTCAAATATGCACTGTCAAGCCATGTCGACTTGTATATTATAATTCCATGGCCACGCAATGCACACTGCAGAGATTGGATGTTCCACAAGATCGCTTGTAGTTTTATCCTTGTGATAGAATTGCTTCATAAGTTTGCCAGTCCCAGACTTCTTGGGTAAAGCAGAAGGGGATAGCTGCCCATCACTGCCATGCTTTGTATGGAATATATTTGTCATGGTCTGCTTTTAAAAAGTAAGGTTACATGGTTATCCATTGCACTGTCTCAGGTGTTATTCTTCCTCTGTACTCTCCACTGCATTTTACCCCCTTTTCTTCTAGTGAAGTTTGAGAGTCCTTACCACTTTCTAGTTCTAAGCCACTGGGGTTGTGGACTGTGGAAACATCCCCCTGAATGGGTTAATGAAATACAAACAAAATATCAAAATATAGAAATGATTATAAAACTATTCAGTTGTGAGTAGGGTGGTGGTGTTCTGCTGGTGTAGATGATGTGATATCTTCCAATATGAAGCATAAAAACAAGTGGAAGTGAGATGCCAAAATTGCAGTTCACCCCTTTGATTGGGATCCCTTATTTTACCCTCATGTGGTTGTCAGTTCCTAGTGGCCAGGTTTTGGATTTAGAGTAGAACCAATCAACATAAGTCCTCACACATGTATTAAAGATGTTTATATTCATCGCTCATTTATACTCCATCAGTGTTGTGGGTCACAATGGAGGTAATTGCAGATTATTACAGTTCTTTTCCCTCAACTATCCCTTGATCGTTTTTTTATTCTGAGGATTTTAATGCGCTTGGGATGGTTCCGGTCAATTTAACTTTTGAGGGAGATTGTTTACATTATGTAGACATCTTTTTGATACCAGATGTCAGGTTTATGGTTTGATCTACAAATTTATCATATTCACATATGCCCCGTTCATGAATTGGGGGGGGGGGTTACTAGATTCCCGCTGGTCTCATGAACTTGAGGTGAAGATGGTATTATCCTTATTCCTGGCTGGGTTTTGGATTGTAGTTGACTTGTCACCGGTATGATCCTCTTTCCTACACCCAAGTGGATGTTGGTTCCTGGTGGTCTGGGTTTTGGATTGTAATCGAATTGCTGGTGATATGATCCTCTTTCCTACTCCCATATGGATGTCAGTTCCCAGTGGCATGGGTCTTGTATGTAGTTGACTTGCCATGTATGGTCTATTGTGCCCTAGTCACTCTACACCTAGGGGGCACATTCTTTTTACTTTACCCACTTTTATAATTTCTGGGATTGAGTTTCATAAATATTGGATGGTTTGGATCACTTTTTGGCTGTAGTTCTCTTCAAATTTGATATGTGTCTCTTGACATCTTTCTACAATGGGCAAAGAGCATACCTGGTTCAAATGTGGTATGGTCTCCCTCATCAGATTTTAAAAGTTGACTATCTCATTTTAGGGAGTGTCTTTGGATGGTTTTGAAGGATGCTTCTTTCTTTCTCTCACACTGGTCCCTCCACCTATTCAATTTGGGATTCTAGCTATTTATGTCAGTGAAGGTAATGTACCGTATTGGAAGTTATAATTTTCCTATACTGAAAATATATTTCTGCTAGGTACTTACCGCTGTTCACACTTCCTCCCCACTGAAAGCTGGTGCTTCCATTTTTTGTCAAAACTCGAAGTGATAGTTAAATAGAATTG